GTTTATTGCAAATAATATTTAAAGCCTTTTTTATTTTAATGCCAATTTTGGGTTAAAACAGGTTTTTATTAAAATTCGCTTTCAATTTCTATCACCCTTGCAATAACTGGATTGAAATGCTCGAGAAATTTCATCAAAACTAGTAATTTTATTGGCCAACTCATTATCAGTGACCTTTGACTTCCCAAGCCATTGACTACACATAATTAGGGACTTGGAACCGGAATTACTGAATTATTTTAAATTAAAACGGTACCAAATTTGTTATGACCTTTTATCACGTGTTTGGTTAATTAAGCTAGACGACACTAATCTTAAAATATAAACACGTGTAGCAAAAAGTTTTTGATAAAGAAAATACTCAAGTTGCACTTATCAAAAATATAGAACTTGTGTCAGATTTAGTTTAAATACATAACATTGACGCAAAAAGAAATCTGAAATTTTTAGAGATTTTAATTTTTTTTTTGTGATAAATGAAAGTGTAATTTTCATGTGATTCTATGAAACCTCAAGGTAGTCTTCAACTACGAAATCGTGAAATTAAAAATTATCATACAAAAATTTTGTGAAAATTATTTCAAAATTCTTCTAAATGAAATTATTGATATGGTATTTAAAAATATTATTAATGATATTTTTAATATTCAAATTACATTTAGAAAATGCAATTGATTGATCAAACATTTAGAAACTCAGTAGTTGATTTTATTTCTTCAATACAATTGATTGATCAAACAATGAAACATTTGGAAATAACTCTTCAACACCTTTATATGAATAACTGGTTAAGACATAGACTTGAAGATATTCCAAATTATGATGTAAAATTTTTAACTCTATATAAATATTGGTTGAATAGTTATGGGCAATTTCTTTGCTATAATGATGAAAGAATATGGTTATATATTTTGTAGGAAACTATGAAATTTTTTAATTACTTTTAAATATCGTTCTTTGGAATATTTGAACAAAATTCTCCAAAAAATTGATGATAATGATATACAGTAAATCTTTAATTTTGAAAGAAATCATATCGATATCTTTATAATGTGATTGAAAATAATATAAGCTTGAAATAAAGTTGTATACTTCTATGAGATGCACACCTGTTACTAGGGTTGTTAATAGAGTACTCTAGTCAATAATAAAACATATAATCCACTTCAAAAGCGGGTTATATGTTTTATTATAGTCTGGAGTACTCCATTAACAACACTACCTATCACGCTGCATAATTAACTAATCACAGATAAAAATCCGTAACATATACAATAACATGCCAAAATAGCACCATTCATCTAATTCGATGCTGCAATCAATTGTTCAAATAACTAACTTTTAAAGCTTCTGATTACTTAGTTATAGCAATCAAAATATTTATTTTGGGATGCTGAACTTTAATTAGAGTATTTTTTTATATTAACATCAGAAATAATAATGAAATATATTGTCAGTTATTGTGTTTTTATATTTTATAATTTGTTATCTTTAATACTTATAATGCATGTAATCCAGTTTTCATTTTTGAAATCGAGATCTTTTAAAAACCGGGTTATAAATATGTATCGGTAAAGTAAATTTTATGAAAA